TGCGTTATTTTCCTTTGATGAGATCCAATACATGAACGAAGAGAACAATGTTTTAAGAAACACTTATTTTTTTTCTTATAAAAATTATTATAAGTATCAACTGATTCAACAATTAGATCATTGGAGTTATCGTATTATTAGTCTAGGGGTCGGGTTACCAATCCAACCAACCCGAACTTTCGGGTTGTGTCAAAAAAATCCCTCAACCCAATCCAACCCAGACCATGTACACCCCTAGCCAGACATTTGATCGGATTCAAGGAAGGAAACATGTCCAAAAGGGCTTATGTTAATGGCTTTCTCTAAACGATGTTCTCTTCTCCATGCAAGGTCGGGTTTGAGGAGGAGGAGGATGTAGTCGGAGATATTTTTTTTAGAATCAATGGAGATCGAGGGATTTGGATAGATAGATGAACGTTTGAGATAAGACCTATTAAGAGGGTTAAAAAAATCGAGATATTTAAGAAGGGTTTTTTTTTTTTTTTTTACTAGAATAGTAGAGATTACCAATATTTCTCGATATTTTTAGAACTATTAGTAATTGATAAATCCCTAACTTTATATGAAATATATTAGTGGGCTCGAGCCTCTAGGGCATCACAAGTCTAAAGGAGACCTTGAGCTTTTAGAGTCCCAATCTCTTTCTTGATGGTATGAAATAGGGTTAGTCATGCTCTTCCTCACACGAGCGAGTCTAGGTTTAGAACCCTACTACTACGGAAGGTGTTTCTTTTTAGGTTCTAGTGTTCTCTCAAAAGTTTTAACGCATTTTCTTATGTTTCAAGATTTTTCAATCCTACCCATTCAATGAAAAATAGTCATAAATCTATTGTTGATATATGCACGAAAACGGTCTATCGTTGATTAATAGATTATCTACCAAGGTTAAATGTTACTTTAGAGACAACATTATTATTTTTTTAATGTGTTGAAGATTGCATCTACACCCGAGTAAAGGAGGGATAAATGAATAAATCGAGACCGTATCCAAATAAGAGCAATTCTGAGAATAAAATGACTAAAAACAAACTTACAGAAGTTCATAGTTAAGAACTAGGTGGACCTTTCTTTTCGGTGGCTTAATTATAAGAACTTCATAGTTAAACGTGCTCTATTTGGAGTCGTTTTATGTTAAGTGACCTTCACGATGAATAAGTAACGTGGTCATATCGCAAGGAAATATCGAGTCCATCAAGTATTATTGAAAATTTCAAAACTTAATAAATATTTTAAAATCAAGTACAAAATCTATGAATATTTTAATGAGTTTGACATTCATAGATATGCATAGGTCATACGTGTGGGGTTTTGTTCTGAGAATGTATACTTAATCTATCGATATAAATAAATGGGAAAGTTATCTATTTATAATCAAATAAATTACAAGAATATGAAAATAATAATAAATATTAAAATATCAAATATGATATATATGGTAAAGTATAATTTAGTATTAAATATCCTTGAAACGATTATAATATTATTTAATTATTTGTCGAAAAAATTTCTCGAACTTATAGAGAAAGCTAGGTTCAATGGTTATGGGCACAACTATAATAGAATATAAATTACACCCCACATTATATATAAATATTATTCATAACCTTCATATTTATTTTTATATACTTTATTTACATATATATATATATATATTCTATATAATGTCGGGTGACGATGACTTTCCTAACTCAAGACGCGTCTGGTTGGTGATCTAAAAATAGAATTTAAAAGTATTATAGAGTTAATGAACACATAACCTTAGTGAAGACTATCTCCACAGACCAACACGAGTCCTTCCAGCATGTTTTATCCTCATTCGCATGCATCCTAGGAAAATTCTCGGGAAACCATGGAGTTTCTATTCTATTTTTAGGGTTCTTCTCATTCCGATGTGGGTTCGGTTCATTCATGTACTATTGTTTTACTTGACTATCATGCACAAGAGAGTTCTCCAATTAGTCCAAACTTTCGACCAACGACTTATTGTAACCCACCAATAATAGCTATACATATTATGACCTAACATATCTTAGTGGTGGGGGAGAGAGTTCTTTCTTTATGTTATCTTTACATGTTTCCCCATACCATTGACATCTTACACCATTATTTATAATTTTATATGGGATCCAAACATATTACATTAATTTGAATCATACTATATTTTATTATTGTTAGTTAGAAAATTAAATTCATGTAGGTGCATTCATTTATTAAAGTGCTTCAAAAGTCGCTCGATAATAATTCATTTCGTCATTATATTCGTTTTTATTCGGATACGAATCATCATTTGTTAATGCTTTGCTAATGTTAATATTAGATTCTTCGATCGCTGTAACGAAAAGCAATCAAGTGAGTGTAATAATCCAAGCCTACTGCTAACAATATTGTCCGTTTTGACTCGTTACGTATCGCTGTCAATCTCATAGTTTTAAAACCCATCTGTTAGAGAGAGGTTTCCACACCCTTATAAGATATGCTTTGGTTCCCTCCTCAACCGATGTGGGATCTCACATCCACCCCCTTTAGGGACCCAGCGTCCCTGCTGACACACTGCTTGATGTCTGACTCCGCTTTGGACTATATCTGCTAATGGTGGACTTGGGCTATTACAATGAGACTTTGTAGCATAAGAGTGACAGATACACTTGTAAACACTTTGATTATAGTAATTATCTACCACCCGTGAATGGAGGAGAATTTCTTCTCTTTAAACCACGTAAATCATTGTATCTCTTTGTTCATTTATGTTCGTTGGTATGTGAGTGCAATCGATCTTGTTTCCTCTTCTACTACAACAATAACAATAATTTCTATTTAAGAAAAAATACGATGAAAATAAACAAGTTCGAAAAAATAATAAAAACAATAACATTTTATCGAGTGGTGGGTTAATTTAACTCGGTGCACTCGGTACACTCGATGCACCTGATACAAGAAGCAACTAGAAACTAGAAACCCAACCCTAAGTTGCGTCATTAGATAGATTTTCAAGCAGTCAGTTTTTCGAAACTGAATTATACTCCACCACGTAAAAAAATGAAGCTCTGAACGAACCACGTCAAATCCCACATTCTTCGTTCGTTCGTTCGTTCGTTCTAGAGTAACGTAAAAGTAGTTTTTAGACCAAGTAAAAAGGTAAATAGTTCTAGGTAAAAGGACAGGTTATTAAATTCATTGGAAGGAAGATGTGTGGTAGTGGCAAAAGAAAAATAAGGCCAAAAAAGGAGAGAGGCCCCCAATGTCTAGAAATGAATGAATGCGATGTGTCGTCCATAGGTGTCGAGTCTACACAAAGACACATACCCCAAACCAACAAACCCTTCCCACGTGAACTTCATCACCCCATACACAATTTTCCACTTGTTTCTTAATGTGTGAATCCCCACACGCCACACCCTCAAACCTCGAGCCTACGTAGCTTTCATCTATAAAGACAAATCCCCCGTTACTGTCTCACACAAAAACATATATTTCGTCTATCTTCGTTCCATTTCGATCTCACGATTTGATAAAATTTTATAAATAGTTGTCGTCAGAACCTACTAATAGATTGTCTTAGTGACACGTTGAGTAATTGCAGGTATTCATGTTGTAACAACGAGTGGAGTGTATAAGTCCTTTTAGAGATAGGGTTGAGGGTTAGACGAGTCCTGTTTACGAACTTTAGAGATAGGATTGACCCTCGTATTGCTTGCTTCTGGTGAAGTTTGATGCACTAGATAGTCGATATTATTTAATGGTAGGAATACGATTTTTTAAGCCGACCACAATGCAAGTCATGAGTGACAATGAAACCAAGCCGAACAAAGGCGAGCAACCCAACTTCTCTACGGAATCTTCGGATGACTCTTGTTTGTAACTTTTGTTGAGAGAAGATGCCTCTGATCTAACCCATAAGTCGTTTCTCCTTCTCATGTTTGTTATATAACAGGAAGTTTCTTATAAAAATGAATATTTATTAAATGAACCCGATAAGAGTCCAAGCTCACAATTAGAGATATTTTCTTCCTTGGTCTTTCCCTTCTGGGCTTTCCCTTAAAGTTTTGAAATTGCGTCGGCTAGGGAGAGGTTTCCATTCTTTACCCTCTCCAACCGCTCGGTGTTTAACTCTGATACCCTATTGTACTTTATGAACTTTCCCTTCCGAATTTTTCTCAAGATTTTTAAAATGGGTCTATTAGTGAGAGGTTTTCACACCCTTATATTAAAAAGAAGGCTTCGTTTTCCTCTCCAACCAACGTAGGATCTCACAACCTACCCTCCTTCAGGCTCAGCATCTTCATTGACCCTCATTCATCTCTCCAATCAATGTTGGATCTCACAAATATAATGTTCGATGCGAAATATTCATATACACATACTCGAAACCAAATGCAAACTAAGGACAAAAATCTTCAAAAACCAAAAAAGAACGAAGGATTTACATTAATATACATAGAACGAAGAACATATATTGAAAAATGAGTATACATTTTGAGAGTTGGAAGAAGAAGAAGGGGATATATAAATTGATATTGAAGAGCACCCAATGCATGTATTGTGTCACGATCATGCTCGTCCAGGGCGTGTTGCCCATGGCCGCATGCCCATGGCAAGCCAAACCCTTGTCATGTCTTTTCATTCTTGTGTTTTTACTTTTGTAGTTCTAGGGCGTATGACGCCTAAAAATTATCATGTCTAGGCTTGCTAGACATGAAATGTCTCAGAATGTACTATAGGGGATATGACTAGTTGTCAACTTCTCCCTACCCAACGTTATATATGGTAAGCCGTTGTTATCTCTCTCTTGCTGGCTTATATAACGTCTCTTTCTAAAATCTCTCTTTACCTTCGTTTTCTAAAACCTTCTTTTAAAACCGAGGCTAGAGGCTTGATCATACGTCGCTTGGCCGTAGGCGACTCAAGAACAAATTGGCTTAGCTCACTTGTCATTGGAAAGTGAGTGTCGCACGATCGCTAGTCCGCTGCCTTGAAAAGTGTGATTGTGTCACATTGCACCCAAATCAAAGAGCTAGGTATCAGATGCAAACAACAATCGGACCAAAAAAGATGCCACCCAGATAAGACTATCAAACGGGGGGCAACTTTATTTCATTGATATTGAATTTGGGTATCAATTTCATTCAAAACAATCGGGTTTTGCCTCAATCTCAGGGAGCAATCCGGAGGAACAAGAACAATACCAAGACCCTTCTTCTAATCATTGATGAATGTCACACTGACTGGACTCTAGCCGCCGGCTCACGGCGGCGATGACGGTGGTGGTACTGACCCAGTTCATCTCATGCAGAGCTTTCACGGTGGACCCACTTCAACCTAATTTGAGACTACGATTAAGAAGGTGCCACCGTCCATTTCTCTCTCTTTCACGTTCCATTGGGATCTTCATTCGATTTATCCACATTTTGCATTTTCTTTCTTGTTCGTCAGAATCTAACAATTAAAGAAATATTTCATCTGGGATCTGTTGCTTTTGCTTCTTTTTCTTGAATCGAGCATGATTTTGGATTTGGGAGTCTCTTAGATTCATTAAACAATTGGATATTACCCTTTTGAGTTGTTAAAATATATTTTCCCCCAAAACTCTGTTCGACTCCCCTGATAGGGACATTGGTTTCATTCTAAGCCACTTTGATGTTCTAAACATGATAAATCCACTTTAAATTCATCTGGGATCTGTTGTTTTTGCCTATTTTTCTTGAGTTCTTTACTACAACGAGCATGATTTTGGACTTGGGTGTCTCTTAGATTCATTAAACAATTAGATATTACCCATTTGAGTTGTTAAAATATATATTTCCCCCAGAACTCTGTTTATGATAGGGACATTGGTTTCATTCTAAGCCACTTTAATGTTCTAAACATGACAAATCCCCTTTAAATTCATCTGGGTTCTTCTTATTTTAGTGTCTAAACGTGGCTTATCCCTGTAACGAGGCAAATCCATGCCTCTATCTGAGCTTTATCGTGTGGCCAGAGGAAAGAACAACATGGTTTCTGCAGATTCATCTCTAAAGTAAGCAAAAAATTGACTTATGGATCATAACAATCGTTGTTTCTTTGCTTATTGTTTGTGAAATTCATTTATTCTTTCTGGGTTTTGTTCTAAATCTTAGCTTCTTGTTCCTTGTGGCTTTTTAATGAAGCCCTGAAAATGATGTTTATGAACTTGTGTGGGAGAATGGCCAAATTTTGCTGCAAGGACAGTCCAGTAAAGCCAGGAAGAACTCATGTGTACCATTTCATAGTCCCAAGGGTACTGATTCTGTAATCAGAGATGTATTGGGACATGATGATGATGATGATGATGATATGGTGCCTTGGCTTAATTATCCTCTTGATGAACATTCTTCTGAATTCTTACTTGAATTATCTGGGGTCACTGTTAATGATCCCCTCTCACGCAATAGTAGCAGTAAGCAGGTCGATGGCGATGCGCAGCTCAATCATTTGCACGGTGCTCGTCTTGAAGATGGTAATATCTCCAAGCTTTCTTCAATGGATGTATCGAGTGCTCGAGCTAGAAGTTGCACGAATCAATTACATTCATCAGCATCTCAGCAAAGCCAGATATCACTTCCACATCGCAGTTCTTCAAGCACAGCAAGGCATAATTCATCGAATATCATGAATTTTTCCCATTTTCTGCGACCTGCTGTTCTTAAATCCAATGATCAGAACCGTGACGTGACTAAAGCTGTCGGTTTGTCGAGTATGCGCTGTGTAGGCAGCATGGATAAGAATTGTTCAGCAGGTAATACTCAACCTTATGAATCATCGTTTTTTAAAACTCGTGGTAGCATAAGAAATGAATCGAAATCATGCTGTGAAAATGCAGTAGTGCCTTCCATAGATGATAGCAATCCATCAGATGTCAAGGCTCCTGAGACACTGGAGGTTGTCGAACAGCCAGAGGTTGCTTGTTTGGGAGATTCAGCCAAAAACGATGACCGTCCTGAACCGTGTCTTGAAGCAGGTGCAAGTAAAGGATTGTCAGATAGTGAGAAGGTTGTTGAATCTGTAATAGCTGCTTCTGTTTGTTCACGCACTAGCATGAAAAGAGCTTTGGATGATACGACCGTTCTTAGGAAGAGAAAATGTCACGACAACGAGGATTCCGAATGGCACAGTGATGTGAGTACCAAATTGTATACTCGTCTTGCTCTTTGTATCTTGGTCACTTTTCGAATCGATAAATGAAAAGAATTCATCAAGAGCAGGATGTAGAAGAAGAAAGCAATGACATGAAGAGAGCGACTCCTGCTCGTGGAAACGGTTCGAAACGAAGCAGGGCAGCAGAAGTGCATAATTTATCAGAAAGAGTGAGTCTTGTTACTATGAAAACTTCATTTTTTTTTTTTTTTTGCTTCAAATACAACATTGAGCCTTTTAAATGAACTCATTCTTTAATTTATGCCACAGCGACGTAGAGATAGGATCAACGAGAAGATGCGTGCGTTGCAAGAACTCATACCGAATTGTAATAAGGTTCGGCTATTAATACTCTCTTGTTCGGGTTCATTTATTGCTCGATCAATTGAATATTTTAAACATCTTGAAAGTAGTCTGACTTGAATTTTATTAGCTATATTCTTGAGCTGAATTCTGTAATGGAACTATTAGGTTGACAAAGCTTCCATGCTCGATGAAGGGATCGAGTACTTGAAAACGCTTCAACTTCAGGTTCAGGTGATGCTCTTTTCCCTAAGGCAAAAAAAATGTATTTCTTTTATGTGAGATCCCACATTGGTTGGGGAGGAGAAGGAAACACCCTTTAAGGGTGTAGAAACCTTTCCCTAGCAGATGCGTTTTAAAAACCATGAGGCTGACAGCGATACGTAACGGGCCAAAACGGATAATATCTGTTAGCTGTGGATTTTGTCTGTTACAAATGGTATCAGAGCCAGACACTGGGTGATGTGCCAGCGAGAGGAGGCTGAGCCTCGAAGGGGGGTGGGATGAGGCGATGTGCCAGCAAGGATGCTGGGCCTCAAAAAGGGGTGGATTGTGAGATCCCACATTGGTTGGTGAGGAGAACGAAACACTCTTTATAAGGGTGTGGATACCTCTCCATAGCAGACGCGTTTTAAAAACCATGAGACTGACAGTGATACGTAACGAGTCAAAACAGGCAATATCTGTTAGCTGTGGATTTTGTCTGTTACAAATAGTATCAGAGCTAGACACTGGACGATGTGCCAGTGAGGACGCTAAGCCCTGAAGGGTGGTGGCATGAGGCAATGTGCCAGTAAGGACGCTGGGCCCCGGAGGGGGGGTGGATTGTGAGATCCCACATTGGTTGGGGAGAAAAACGAAACACCCTTTATAAAGGGTGTGGAAACCTCTCCCTAGAAGACGCATTTAAAAAACCATGAGGCTGACAGAGATACGTAACGGGCCAAAACGGATAATATCTGTTAGTTGTGAATTTTGTCTGTTACAAATGGTATCAGAGCCAGACACGGGGCGATGTGCCACAAGGAGTCTAAGTCTCGAAAAGGGGCGACATGAGGCGATGTGCCAGTAAGGACACCGGGCCCCGAAGGGAGTGGATTGTGAGATTCCGCATTGGTTGGGGAGGAGAATGAAACACCTTTATAAGGGCGTGGAAACCTCTCCCTAGCAGACGCGTTTTAAAAACCTTCAAGTAAAGCCCAAAGAGGACAATATCTGCTAGCGATGAGCCTGGGCCGTTACATTTGATCTCTCCACCCCCACAATTCAGAAGTGATCATTGTTTACAATATTCAAGTAATCTGTTCATGTTTTTCACATATTATGCAGATTATGTCGATGGGAGCTGGTTTGTTCATGCCTCCCATGATGTTCCCTGGAGGAATGCCACCCATGAATGCACCTCATATTTATTCACCCATGGGCGTAGGAATAGGAATGGGATTTGGGATAGCTATGCCTGACATGAATGGTGGTTCTCCTGGCTATCCCATGGCTCAAATGCCACACTTGCAAGGAACGCATTTCCCGAGCCCATCGATACCAGCTCAAACTATAATGCATGGAATGCCAGGTTCTAACTTTCATGTCCTTGGATTTCCTGGTCAAGGACTCCCCGTGTCCATGCCACGTGGCCCGATTGCTCCGTTTCATGGAGGACCTTTTATGACTAATTCCAGTGTGGCAGTAGCTCCTGTAGAGAGTTTCAGTTTAGCTGCAGCTTGTAGCTCGAAAGATTCGCCTCCAAAGATGAATTCACCGACCGTGCGAAATGGTGGCAACGACCCTTTAATAACAGCTCCTAGACAGGTGTGTAGATTTAAATTTTAAAAGCATGTGATATTATGGTATGTTATGTGAAGGTAGGATAGAGTTTTTATCCTTTTTATTTTTAACATGAGAAGAGACAAATGCTCGGAAATACAAACTTCAAATGGGAGAAAAAGAATAAAACAAAACTGCTTATAAAGAAAGGATAGGGTTTTTATCATTGTTGATATGGACGGTGTTGGCAAGAAGATGATGAGATGGTTAAAAAAAAAGGGTCCACATTGCCCAGTGTCTAGCTCTGATACCATTTGTAACAGCCCAAGCCCACTGCTAGAAGATTTTGTCTGCTTTGGCCTATTACGTTATTCTCGTCAGCCTTACGGTTTTAAAACGCGCCTCTTAGGGAGAGTTTTCCACACCCTTATAAGGAATGTTTCGTTCTACTCTCCAACTGATGTGGGATCTCACAATTCACCCCTCTCGGAGACCAATGTTCTCACTGACACATCGCTTAGTGTCTAACTCTGATTCCATTTGTAACAGCCTAAGCCCCCTACTAGTAGATATTGTCTATTTTGGTCCGTTACATATCGTTGTCAGTCTCACGGTTTTAAAACGCGTTTACTAAGGAGAGGTTTCCACACCCTTATAAGGAATGATTCATTCCCCTCTCCACTGATGTGGGATCTCACAATCCACCCCTCTTAAAGGTCCAGCATTCTCGTTGGCACACCACCCAGTGTTTAACTCTAATACCATTTGTAACAGTTTAAGCCCACTACTAGCAAATGTTGTTCGTTTTGCCTTGTTACATATTGTCATCAGTTTCACAGTTTTAGAACGCGTTTGTTAGAGATAGTTTCCACACTCTTATAAGGAATGCTTCGTTCCTCCCTCAAACCAACGTGGGGTCTCACAATTCACCCCTTTTGGGGGCCAACGTCCTTGCTGGCATATCGCCCGGTGTCTGGCTCTAATACCATTTGTAACAGCTTAAGCTCACTACTAGCAGATATTGTCCGTTTTTACCTGTTACATATCGTCGTCAGTCTCACGGTTTTAAAACATGTTTGTTAGGGAGAGTTTTCCACACTCTTATAAGGAATGTTTCGTTTCTCTCTTCCACTGACGTGGGATCTCACAATTTACCCCTTTTGGGGGCCAACGTCCTCACTGGCACATTGCCTGCTGACTTTGATATCATTTGTAACAGCCTAAGCCCACTACTAGTACATATTGTCCGTTTTGGCCCATTACATATCGTCGTCAGTCTCACGGTTTTAAAACGCGTTTATTAGGGAGAGGTTTCCACACTCTCATGAAGAATGCTTCATTTCCCTCTCTAACCAATATAAGATCTCACATGAAAATATTGAATTATCTTGTTGCTGCAGGGTAACAAACAAGCTTCTGGTGTTAATGGCAGTGGTACGAACCCGACCAACAATAACGAAACGACGTTATAACTAGCTATGTTAATAACATATTGGTCAGGGCTCATGGCATTGGTTCATGAACTTCACTTGGAGATCATCCCGCTTTGGACATGGAGATACGTAATTCTTGATACCACTTGGAGGGGACTTGGCAGGATGATCTTTCAATGGAATTAGCTGATTGATCAATTATCTTGAGGGGACTTGGATATGATGAAAATTTGTAAGAACAAGAGAGGGCGTTGAGTTATATGATACCGAGACTGAACTAAGATTATAAAGTTCGATGATATATTTTGTACGATGCATCCTATCGAGTTTATTGAATTTGTTACGAGAACTTGCTAACTTAATTGGGTTACGATCTATTTGGGTACTTCTAGTCTCATATCGGCTATAGACCTAGACGAGCAATGACCCACATGACTATGTTCTTCATCATAGGGATTTGTATATTGGTTGTGGACTAGTTTGACCTATCTTAGTTTCTATTTCAAAAAGTCTCACTCAAAACAAATAACTTTTAGCGGAATATTTACTATTCACATCTTAGTCCATTTGTACTAGAGACAAACAATCGAGACAAATTTAGCACTCGAGATCGCTCAGGTAAGTGAGGACTAACTCACTTACTCCATTGAATGCTCCTACCTATCATCAAAGATCGTGTGAATGTGTAACCAAAATCGATAATATTTTGTATATCAGAAAAAGGAACGATTCATGCATACATTCTTCAGACGTTTCATCTTTTGTGACTATAAAAAGAACATTTGTGCTTTATTTACTGAATGACTAAGTTTCATTGCGATTGTACTATATATGTTTAGAATAATTACTTATACTCTCACTTTGAGATATTTGATCGGTAATCCAAATCTTATTTTCCTTATATAACAATTCCTTATCACATGGTGTCAGCTCTCGTTACAATCATACTATGAAGAAAGTAGGTTGTGACTCTCACGTGCAAACACGACAAGATAGTGATACGGAAGTGGAATCCAACCAACTACGCGAGGTCGAAACAGACAATATATATGTGTGTAAGAGATAACTTCGAGTTAAGACAAATATAATCCTCTTAAAATTCAAAAAGATCGTGTTGATTGGTTAAAGGTAGATACACAAACATTGACGAGATGATTTGGTAGTGATTTATGGAATAATGAGGGGAAATGCATGTGCTTATGTTCCCAACTATTGTTAATGGCCCATTTGGATTAGATATATTGAGGTCAAATCAAAGGGCAAAAAGCAAAACAATGTGAAAATGTTCCCCACAAGTTGCTATTCCTTTTAAGGACACCTACTAGCCTTAGCTAGCTAGCTACCACTCACCTTATCCCTTTTGCCTCTTCCCAACATCGTATTAATTAACTATGTTGTTGTGTTTATTTAGTTGTAATGTTATCGATGTTACTTAAATCTTGACGTAACAATTTTTTTTTTTTGTATTCAATTAATACACGAAGGTAGAGAAATTTAGATATCAGACTTTTCGGCTGAGAGTATGTACCTTAATCAATTGAATTATGTTAAGTTGACGTTGACATAAGGTAATGATTTGACACATTATGATATATGTAATCGAGTTGAATAAAATAAAGGAAAAAAAATGTATTCTAGAGGTGTTCGTGGATTGGGTTGAGTCATGTTGAGATGTTTTAGACGCAACCCAATTTTAGGTTATAAACTCTTTTCGACCCGAACAAACGTGTTAAATACTGAATCCAACACAACTCAATCATAAATTTTGGTTTGGGTTGATTCAGGTTGTTCGGAGTTGGCATGACATGAACTTGATCCTATAATGAAAAGAAAAGTTTGTAAGTATTCCCTATTTTTTTTGTTTCAATGACTTCTTTGAGAAAGAACGCTTTCTTGTTGCTTTCTATAGTGGATGTAGGCCTTCTTTGAGCGTTTTTCCTCTATCTATTATCAGAGAATTGATAGCTATGCTCAAGTTGACGTTCACGGCAACAACAATATCCTTCCAGTGGCAGCTCATCCTCTTTCAGTGTTCTAATGATCAATTTGTGACACCCATCGTCCGACTTAATCCAATTTCAGATTATTCGAACAAAGTCTTAAAGATTACTTAAAGGACTACTAGTGTGACGATCCTACTTCTAAGACATGATTGAACTTGGAAGCTAGCTACTTTGGACTTTTCCATGACATCCGTAGGAAATGCCGTCAACCATTCAAGATTCCTTTGTTCTTACCTAAACAACATAGTCGAAAAAAAGTTGAGTATTGAAAAATATCCAATAAATAACTTAATTGTTGGGATGCATATGCAAACACATACAACATATCTATGAAATTGAATATGTTACTCCTCTACGCATCAACTTACGCATACATGAACTCACTAAACAATCATCTCCATTAGACTTTCTAGACTTGACTATGAGCAGATATATGCTCAAACAATAAAAACTACTGGATATGAAAGGAACGCAAAATGTAAGATATAACTAAATGTGTATACATAAATTATCGAATAAAAGAACACGATTCAAGTTAAGCATCAAAACGTGTTTAATTTTTACTTTGAGAATTAGAGACATTTTGACTTAAAAAGGAAAAAAATGCGTTTTATTGAATATAAGATAGCACACATGGTTGTCTAAATGAGTTGATAAGATAGCACACATGGTTGTCTAAATGAGTTGATTTGATGCAAAATCCATCTCTTCACTTTACTATTATTATATATTTGATGAAAAAAAGAAAAAACGAGTCACCGATTACTCCACACTTACACTTTCACGTAATAACTCAGACTAAAGGTGACTCTATTACTGGAATAGAGATAAGGAAGAATTGGTTACACCAAATGATACGCCAAAACCACACCTATAACTGAAGTTAATTCATGATAAATTGACTAGTAAGATACACGTCCAAATACGTGTAGGATCATGATTAAAGCCATCATATTTGTGGACTATCTATGGATGGATTTAATTAATTAACAGATATTGTCCGTTTCGGCCCGTTACGTATCGTCGTTAGCCTCACAGTTTTAAAACGCGTCTACTAGGAAGAAGTTTCAATACCTTTATAAGGAATGATTCGTTCTCCTCTCCAATCGATGTGGGATCTCACAACTACCCACCTTGAGGGCCCAGCATTCTCGTTGGCACCCAACACGGTGTCTAGCTCTAATATCATTTGTAAAAACCTACCACTAGCAGATATTGTTCGCTTTGGCCCATTACCTATCGTCATCATGTGAAATACATGTAGGTCATGATTAAAGCCATCATACATGCCGACTATTTATGAACGAGTTAGATAAATTAGCAGATATTGTCCATTTTGGCTTGTTACGTATCGCTGTTTGCCTCAGTTTTAACATGTGTCTACTAGGAAGAAGTTTCAACACTAGCCAACCGATGTGAGATCTCACAATCCACTCCCTTGAGAGCCCAACGTCCTTGCTGGCACCCCGCTCAGCGTCTGGCTTTAATATCATTTGTAAAAACTCACCGCTAGCAGATATTGTTCGTTACCTATCGCCATCATGTTGAAATACGTGCAGGAACATGATTAAAGTCATCATACATGTCGACTATTTATGAACGAGTTAGATAAATTAGCAGATATTGTCCATTTTGGTTTGTTACGTATCGTTGTTTGCCTTAGTTTTAACATGTGTCTACTAGGAAGAAGTTTCAACACTAGCCAACCGATGTGAGATCTCACAATCCACTCCCTTGAGGGCCCAGCGTCCTTGCTGGCACCCCGCTCAGCGTCTGGCTTTAATATCATTTGTAAAAACTCACCGCTAGCAGATATTGTTCGTTACCTATCGTCATCATGTTGAAATACGTGCAGGAACATGATTAAAGTCATCATACATGTCGACTATTTATGAACGAGTTAGATAAATTAGCAGATATTGTCCATTTTGGTTTGTTACGTATCGTTGTTTGCCTTAGTGAACGAGTTAGATAAATTAGCAGATATTGTCCATTTTGGTTTGTTACGTATCGTTGTTTGCCTTAGTTTTAACATGTGTCTACTAGGAAGAAGTTTCAACACTAGCCAACCGATGTGAGATCTCACAATCCACTCCCTTGAGGGCCCAGCGTCCTTGCTGGCACCCCGCTCAGCGTCTGGCTTTAATATCATTTGTAAAAACTCACCGCTAGCAGATATTGTTCGTTACCTATCGTCATCATGTTGAAATACGTGCAGGAACATGATTAAAGTCATCATACATGTCGACTATTTATGAACGAGTTAGATAAATTAGCAGATATTGTCCATTTTGGTTTGTTACGTATCGTTGTTTGCCTTAGTTTTAACATGTGTCTACTAGGAAGAAGTTTCAACACTAGCCAACCGATGTGAGATCTCACAATCCACTCCCTTGAGGGCCCAGCGTCCTTGCTGGCACCCCGCTCAGCGTCTGGCTTTAATATCATTTGTAAAAACTCACCGCTAGCAGATATTGTTCGTTACCTATCGTCATCATGTTGAAATACGTGCAGGAACATGATTAAAGTCATCATACATGTCAACTATTTATGAACGAGTTAGATAAATTAGCAGATATTGTCCGTTTTGATTCGTTTCGTATCGCCGTCAGCCTCACAATTTTATAATGCGTCTACTAGGAAGAAGTTTCAACACTCTTATAAGAAATGTTTCGTTCTCCTCTTCAACCGATATGAGATTTCACAATCCACCTTCCTTGAGTGCCCAACATCCTCGCTGGCACCCTGCTCAGTGTCTGGCTTTAATATATTTGTAAAAACCCACAACTAGCCGATATTGTTCGTTTTGGTCCGTTACGTATAGCTGTTAGTCTCACGATTTTAAGAAGCATCTACTAAAGAAAAGTTTACACGCTCTTGTAAGAAAGGTTTCGTTTCCCTCTCTAACCGAATTCGGATCTCACATTAATCAATCACATTTTTATAGGTATCTTCTCTCCCCTATTCTGAAATAGATATTTCCATTTGGAACTTAGCAATTTATTAATTAGATCCCCACATATCTTCTCTCTCCCTCTTTAAAGCTAATAAATTTCAATTAATTTCAAAATATCCCAATTTAATATTATATATATATATATATATATATATATATATATTTGCCCATAAAAATTAAAGGTTGGAGTTGAAGAAAAGGAGTTCATATGGGAAGGTACTCTTGCTGTTACAAGCAGAAGCTTAGGAAAGGGCTTTGGTCACCTGAAGAAGATGAGAAGCTTCTTAACCATATCACCAAACATGGCCATGGCTGTTGGAGTTCGGTCCCTAAACTCGCAGGTAATTGGCTTTTCATCCTCTTGCCTCAAATCGATTCAAAAAAGTTACAAGATTCGAGATTAAGTTCTCTAATTTCGAGGAAGAAAAGAAAGAAAGTAAGAAAACGTTAACTTTTTAACACGACCCGTATGGATCTTTAGGGTTGCAAAGGTGCGGGAAGAGTTGTAGATTGAGATGGATCAATTATCTAAAGCCAGATTTGAAAAGAGGCCCGTTCTCGCAACCAGAAGAAGATTTAATCATTGAGCTTCATTCCGTTTTAGGCAACAGGTTTGTTTTCCCTCCTTAGTTCTTCCCTTTAGTTTTTGATTCGTGACTTGTTTTATAACATATTATTCGTTTAGATGGTCACAAATTGCTGCTCAACTACCTGGACGAACCGACAACGAAATAAAGAATCTATGGAACTCGTGCATAAAAAAGAAGCTAAAGCAAAAAGGCATCGACCCGAACACTCACAAGCCTTACGTAGACAAAGAAATCAGCAATGAAAACAACAACAACATTACCATATTAGATGATAAAAAAATCCATGAAAAGGCTTCATCCATTGAAGTAGTTCCAAACCATTCAAGTTCCGACATGTCGACCACTACCGACAAATCGGAGAACATGGGTATCGCTATAACTATTCCAAATAATAACACCAACCCTTTTGAAGCCATTTCAAATTTGCTTTTCCCCACTCCCAATTCATGTGAAAATCCTCCTATAAGTTCTAACGCCTTCTCGTGGCAGCCCGATGAGTTGCTTCAAACCGCCTCCGATCTCATGAGAAGTGATTGGTATCATCAGATCAATCACCATCACCCGACCCTCCAACCCGAACTATTAGGACATCAGACCTACCCATAATTCTATCATATAGCAAGATACGTGTTATGTTACTATATCTGTTTTAGATCTAAACCTTCGTAACTTTTCTCCACCAGTAAGCCAAAGTTATATGACTTATATTTCAGAGATTCGAAGTTCTGTGAATAGTTCGTATTCTTGTAAAAGAACCCTTTAATTAATTAGGGTTTCAAGAAACGAAACACTTGTATCGACTATCGAATATGTATTTTGTAATGGGTTTTGAGAGTGATAATATAAGGCGTTTTTGGTCTTTCAAGTCCACATATTGTGAAATTATTAATGGACCATGGTTCTTTAAATGGCTGTCCATCACTCTCCCGAAGATGGGGACCTTTTTCACTTTTTGATGTGGCCACCAATCCCTCCTTTTCCAAATTACTACTTTGTATCAACGTGCCAAATCCGTGTTTAGTAACGCTTATGAATATCGATTCATAAACAAATTTAATTAATAATTGTAGAAGTTGATATCATCATCGTAGTTGTTTAGATGTTTGTATTTTTGTTAAGATATAAATAATTTCATGATGGCGAGAGTTTATCGAGACTAGTTATTGGATCAAGCTAAAAGAGAATATAAAAAATCAGTCTTGAATTCTCGAACAAAGGGCTACAATGACATGACTGTATCTATCCTAGTCTTAGTCTCATGGCCATCATCGTTACGTCGTCAATCGTGCAGAGGTGTCTTACTTTTACTTGAAAAATAAGAGTAGTATGTGGCTTAGTATTTTAAGAAACACTCAGTAAGTAAGCCATGCAATCATGTCTAGGAGCTATCATTTTATGGCCTTGGTCTTAACTTCCAGTCCAAAAGAATTAGATGTGTAGTACTTCTCTACACACGGCCCATACATGCGCACATGAACCCCAGGCAAGCTCATATGCATACCTTTTGGACCTAGCCTTCGACTAGCAACACTCGTGTTGCCGATATACTACGGAATGAAGGGAGCGTGCATAGTATCATGTACATAAAACCATATCATAACATCTAGGGTACGCATCCATACTATCGTAACAAAGAAGTATCTTGATGCACGTGAATATATAATAGATTATTTTTTTTTTATTTATTTTTTATTTTTTTGTTGTTGTTGTTGTGGTGGTGAAGAACATGAAGGCTTTAGCACGTAGAGAGAGGGCATCAATAGCCCCTAAACATAAGAAAGCTATCAACATTCAATCATAAAAACCAAATCGAAAATTTTGAAATAGAAACACGTATTAATCTACATAAACTAAATGCGTTAATAAATGAGGCAATTTCATTCCATGTGTAATAGAGCCATCAACAAACTCCGTATCCACTCACCTCACTAATTTTTCACTTCGTTTTCTTCACTATGACGACCCTTTACGTCGATTTCGCATCTCTCTTCCTCCTCGTGAAAAATTGGAGCATGCTCTTTTTCTTCACTATGGTGACACTTTATGGCACCTCCGCTCCTCTCCTCATGAAGGATAGGAACACTTTCTTCTCGTTCTCGTTCTCCTCCTCCTCCATCGTTTAACTTTACGATCGGCTCCTCCGTCTTATACTTATACCACGATGCCCAATACAAGTAATGAAAAAAGTTCAAAAGGCTAAGAATGGCCAAAAACCAATAAAAGAGATTGAGATTGTTGTAGTTCAAGTCCTCAGGAATGAGGCCTTCAACCCATCCCTTCTTGCTTGGGGATACCTTTCTAGTGACTTTGTTGATAACATTCACAAAGATGCTACTCAAGTAGTAGCCAAAGGAGAGGGAGAGCCAAGTGAAGGAAGTGGAGAGGGACCTCATTCCCACAGGGGCTTCCTTGTAGAAGAACTCCAATAGCCCCACAAGGGTGAACATGTCTGCTATCCCAAATATACCATATTGGAATGATAGCCAGAATAGGCTCATCGGCTCGTCCGGATGCTTCGTTGCTTGGTGTCGTCTCTTCATCTCCACGAGCCCTGCCACGGCCATCGATACGGCCGAGAGTACCTATTACAAAATATGTATAAAAGATTAAACGTACCAACAAATTATCGTAGGAAGAACAAAAGGTAGCATATATAAAAAAGTGTTTCTAGCTAGTTAAAAATATTTTTCGAAGTATTTTTTGATTTTCAAAATTGTTTAAAGCCATTAGAAAGTACTAGGGAGAGGTTTCTACGCCCTTATAAGGAAGGTGGGATCTCATAATCCATTGTCCGCTTTACTGGCCCATTACATCTCACCATCAGCCTCACAGTTTTAAAACATGTGGGATCTCACATCATTGTTCGTTTCGGCGCAGTACGTATTCCCTCTCCAACCAACAGGGGATCTCACAATCCACCATCTTTAGGTGCCCAACGTCCTCGTCGGCTCACTATCGGTGTCTGTCTCTGGTACCATTTGTAATAGTTCGAGTCCACCACTAGTAGATATTGTCCGCTTTTGCCTATTATGTATTGTCATTAGCCTCACAGTTTTAAAACGCGTTAATTAGAAAGAGATTTCACACCCTTACAAGGAATGTTTCATTCCCCTCTCCAACCATTCCCCTCTCCAACCAATATGAGATCTCACGTAAATGCTTCCAAAAAAAAACATTTAATACCTGTTTTCTTAGAATATTCTTCAAAAGTCATCTCAAACTCCGATCTAATATTTAAATTCTATATTTTCTATACTTTTCAAAAAATTATTTTAAGTAAATGGATTAACATGTTGACGTGAGCATTGTATAAATACGAGTAGTTTGAATCGTACCAGTCCGACCCCAACACGTTGGAGTTGGGTGATGCCTGATGGGTGGTGCGTGATCTTCCGAGCGAAGGGGACGAAGACGAACTCGTAGAGGGGAATGAGAAAGGCCATGAAGACCAATGGGATAACAGGGATGGAAGGAGCTGGGAACTGAAGATGGCCAAGGCTTTTGTCCATGATTTTGGTGTTTCCTTGTTCTACTGAAAATGTTTGAAGCTGTGCTAAACAAGTGTTCATGATGATGGTGCTGATGAAGATGGGCAACATTCTTGTTATGATCTTCACTTCCTCTACTTGTGTTACACTGCAAACTTTCCATGGTTGTGGCTCTACGTCCTTCGGGAGAATCGAAGCTTTGTCAAGAAACCTGAACGACAAATAATCAATGAAAATAATATCTATTACTGATATCTTCTCAAGTTCATGAAAATTGATTAAAAACTATATCGAGAGAAACTAACCAAAATCTAAACTAATTTAAAGTTCGCAATATAATTTAAATATATATAGTGCTTCTAGTTTTAACTTAAATTCTTTCGTTTATAACATTCTTGTCCAATATTTAGAATATGGATTCGGCATCGGATGGTCCTAACATTGTCCTGCATTCGTTGTGAGATGATCACATCACCTACTTGTCTTGAGTTGTTTCTAAAAGTGAAGACTATTATCACAGACTAACATAAGTTTTTTAGCATGTTTTGTCCTTACTTACATGTTTTCTATAAAATTTCAAGAGGTCACCTAAGTGTACGATTACTTGAAACTAAGCACACTTGTTGGTATAGATAGCAACTACTAATTTGAAGATTGCATTTATTCAAATGTGGTTTCGGTTTATTCATGTGTCTCTCCTTTACTCATGCATCACATGTCTGCATGTGAGATCCCCATCAGTTGGAGAGGAGAATGAAATATTCTTTATAAGGGTGTGGAAACCTCTCCTTAGTAGACGCGTTTTAAAAACCTTGAGGAGAAGCCCAAAAGGGAAAGCCTAAAGAGTACAATATCTACTAACGATGAGCTTGAGCTGTTACAAATGGTATTAGAACCAGACACCAGGCGATGTGCCAGTAAGAACGTTGGGCTTCAAAAGTGGGTGGATTGGGGTCCCACATCAATTGGAGAAGGGAGCGAGATCCCATATCGGTTGAGGAGCAGAACAAAGTATTTTTTATAAAGATGTGGAAACCTCTTTCTAGCAGACGTGTTTTAAAAACTGAGGAGAAGTCTAAAAGGGAAAACCCAAAAAACTCAAAGAAGAAAATATACACTAGTTGTGGGGTTGGGTCATTACACTACTAACTTCTACTTTCCTTAATTCCCAAATCACATCTTTCTAAGTGAGGTTTTGCTTCGGTACCATCCGTAATAACTAAAGACTCTTGATATTCCCATATAACATGGTCACGACACTTACTTGTCTCGAGTTACTTCTAAAAGTGAATACTATGTCACAAACCAACACAGATTTTTTTAGTGTGTTTTGTCCTCACTCACATGCTTGTTCGGAAAATTTCTAAGAGATGACTTTAAGTCAAACATGAATGTTGATATAGATCAATGCTTTTAAGCTTTTCTTGACCATAATCTCATATCATCACGATCACTTTCATTTAGATATGATATCAATTCATCTAGTACTCTTCTTTTACTCAAGTATCACATCATCATTCTAAAAAATGAAGTAAATATAATGGTGTTTATAATTTAGCTAAGAGCCTCAAAATTTGTCTCTAACCTCATTTTTAACCACGAAAACTCCATCTTTTCTCCTATTTTGGACGATAATCTAAATACAAAATACTAATATATTCAATATTGAATGCATGGAGCCTAAGTTGATTATTTAGCATTAATATGAAAATTAAATTAAGAAATATAATGAAAAAAAAAATCAATGGACCTGAGCTGATAGGTACGAGCAATCTTAGACTCGATGGAATCCATATAATACTTGTCGCTAAGCTCATACAATTCACTTGGCGTGTTGGGTAACGCCAATCCTCGATTTTTAATAGCCACAACGATAACCTGTCAAACCATAATCAATTATTAAAACATGAATTATCATCTTTTATCAACTTGAGCGTAGCTCAATAGATAGACATTAATCATTATCTCATGTCAACTTGAACATAGCTCAATTGATAAGGCTGATACTACCATCTTACAAATCGACTGTTCAATCTTTTACCTTCAATCATTTAACTCACGGGAGGAAAAAAAAAAACCCTCGTAGAAAGTTTGAGTCATAGTGAGTTTTCATTTAAAGACAAATTACTAAAATTGCGATTTTGGGTTTTATTTATTTATTTAGAAGTGTTCATCAGTTGGGTCAGATATATTTTTTAGATCAAACTAATTATTACTGTAAAAATTTTCAACCCGAACATCCTTTTTTTAAATAGTTAACCTAACCTAATCTAACAATAAAATTTTTGAGTTAGGTTGGTTCACTCTTCATTTTTTTTTTTTTTAATAAAAGTAAAATGATAGTTAGTAAAATATTTATTTATTTATTTTTAAACATTTAAATAAGAACCGAACTCAATCTCAATAAATATTTTAAAAATTATCTTCCAAAATAGTTTTTTAAAAAAATATTGGTAAGAGTTTAATAAATAATTATAAAAGAAAATAATTAAAACTAAAATTAATAAATATATTTTTTTGTTGTTGGATCACATTCCCTTAAATTTTCGTTTAATTAAATTTATCAGAATCCAAATAAGTTCATAATTCAACCCAAACTGTGTCGTTTGAGCTAAATTGATCAGGTTTTTCAAGTCATCGTCTCTTAATTTTATTATCTACTTTCTATACATGTCTTTGATATCGAACTAAACATTTAAAAACAAAAAAAAAAAAAAAAAAAAAAAAA